ATCAGCGTTGTTGAGGCCTGTCCTGTCTGCAGAGAGCTTTGTAAAGTGGCAGCAGCAACACATTGTGGTCTCTCTGCAGAAGGAACATAGGAAGTCAGCATTAAATCAGCAAACACTAATTGTCCTGGTGGTTTATGGGACAAAGATGTGGGCTACTATCACTTCTTGGTGGCCATTGGCTCTCTTGTTGTTGAGTAATAATAGAAGTTTACAGCCTCCATATTTTGAATCCCCTGACCTCTGAGGGAACTTTACCCCTACTCACCCCCAACCCATTTCATTCTCCATCCAGCATTTCAAGATTCAAGGCTTTTATTAGTCATACGTACATAGCTACAGTGTAGTTATGACAATGAAAATATTAGGTCCCAGGCTCCTCCAACAGTGCAACACAATAAAACTGATAAAGTAGTGCATGTAAATACAACCAAATAGAATAGAAGTAGCATCTATCTACATCGGATGTCTCGAGACAGTGGTTTCCCCAAGCTGGCAAAATGTTATTCAGATCTAGACTAAACCAACCCAGTTTACCAATATTTTGTTTTAACAAAAAGTCTGACTTCAAACCACATCCACTTCATGGAGAGGCACAAAGGTTTGTAAAGATATTCATGTTCCCTACAGACTGTTTCTTCTAGCGCCATAGTGAGGTTCATATTTGTGTTATTGAGTCAAATATCTTGGAAACTATTTGCTAAACTGCTTTGTAATTAAGTAAACAAAGTTTGCATCACTTTGTGTATTTGTTGATCCCCTTACTTTTTCTCTAGTGCCATAATTCGGTTATAACCTTCTGTTTGTGTGACATTACATTACATGTCACTTGTTAGACGCTTTTTATCCAAAGCGACTTACATACTCAATACTGTGGACAATCCCCACAGGAGCAATTTGGGGTGAAGTGTCTTGCCCAGGGACACAACGACATGCTGACTGCAGTGGAACTTGCTATCCTCTGGTTCGAAGATCAGCGCACTAACCCACTGAGCCACAGCCTCCCCTTGTGTGTGTTGGTTTTACCTGCAAACTAATCGTATTGCCATCACGCTGATCTATACTTGTTTGTGCGTATGAGCAATTGTTAGTGTGTCAACATGCTTAACTAAAATGGTTATAATGGTAAATACCTGGTTAATATTAGCATGCAAGCGTTGTCATTGTGAGCATGTTGACATCCCGGACAAATGCTTAGTCACTGTGTTTATCGACTTTAGATCAGCAGCATTGAAGTAAATATATGATACATCAAATCAAACGGGTTTTGAAACATACATTTATTCTCTCCTGAGAGACACCAAACTCCGTTGATGGAGACAGTCATTTTACCCTGCTGAACATCGAATAACACATTTCATTTAAACTGGACAGAAACAAAGTCAAACGTATCCACTGTCCAAACAATCAACAACTCTGTTTTGGGAGTTTGAGAAATAGACTGAACAGAAAACCAGCACTCCCAGAACCAACACAAAAGGTTCTTAGTCTTGTTTACGTGCACAGCTGCATACTTATAACATATGTGAACAGTTTACTGTGCCACTAATTACAACTTGCTCTTTGTATCTTACACAGAAATCCAAATTGTAAACCATTTGTTCCTATATTCCATCATGCAGCCATCTTTCTTACCCATCATGTGTGTTTATAATGGTATCCAGCTAAGCAAAGGTTCTTGTTAAACTTGTCTGGTTTTCATAATGCAGCTTCGTTACAGTGCTAGTGATGTTATTACAGAATGATCACTATATCTTCATATTCAAATCACACTCAACAAAGATTCTATGTATCTCTCTGAACAACAGGGAGTGTATTGTGTTGCTGCATCAGAAGCTTTCCTCCATTAGCCCTTAACCAAGCGTCCATTCATCCGTCAAACCCCCTCCCCCACAATCCTCCATCTCTGACCTCTAACCTCTGTATGGATGTAGCAGCTGAGTCCCTTATTGCCTGGCAACCACATCCTCCATCTTCTCCCATGATAACCGCTCACTGTTGTGAACACACACTCAAAATACGCACTACTGCCCCATTTCATGCCATCTATGGAATGCACTATTCAACATGTAAGGGGGATGTAAGTGTTATACTAGTACTGCATTTAAAAAAGGTAATGTTTATTATATACATATGATTATATTGCATTATCTAAATCAATCTAAGTCTATTTTCACATCCCTACACTCTGTTTTGAGTGTAATTAATCAGCCAGAAAAACAAACAAAATTGAATCAGATGCATTATTATTATTATTTGATTATGAATTATATAATCAATCATTATTCATTAGTAGGGATAGTGGTATGCCCCTATTGAATTTACATTTACATTAGATTTGCATACTCATCGATGCAGATCAATGCTTTTCAAAATGCTCAATCACAAGGCAAAATAAGAAAACTTGCAATACTGGCCATATTTGATTCTGTAAGATAATAGCCTGCCTTTTATCTGAGGACATTTTCATTTCTGGCGTTGCCTTTTTGACATTTTAAAGCCAATATCAGCCCAGCCAATCCTCATGCATCCTTACTAAATAGCAAATTGCCGAGAAACTACACCTTCCTCTGTCCATCCTACTTTTATTACATGCTAAAACTCTCCTTAAATGGTAGTAGATACGGCAACCTACAGGGCATTTTGTGAATGAAGTAAAAGTTGATTGTGTGTGCCAGGATTATGACGCTGCCTTGGAGTAGATAGGGTTTTCGTCTGGGAGTGATAATGCTCCGTCAGTGATCGCCACGCATCGTTCGAAGGCTGTGAAAGTCTCTTAAAAAGGAGGCAAGATTTTCTGGAATGAGAAACGCTTCCTCTTGAGTCTGCTTACGTTTCTCCTGCGAGGACGTTGTAGATATTTCTAACACGCACCTCTTATCACCGCTGCTTTCAATAAAACGCTACACCACCACCACGGCTTGGAGGAGTACCCCGGCCACCTGTAAGGAAACACACTGAAGCTCTCGCTGTCCAGCCCCAACACGCCTCTGCTCACACGTAAACACTCAAATGATACACACACACACACACACACACACACACACACACACACACACACACACACACACACACACACACACACACACACACACACACACACACACGTGGCCTGTGTGACGTCAGCGGAGGGGATTTCCCGTGCCATACAGAGCGTCAGACACACACCACAAATGCTGTGTCACTGCCGGCTGCCTCGCCTCTCCACGCCACACTTTCAGCTGCCTCTCTCCTTTTCACTTCCCTTCTCTGTTCCTGTCTCGCTGTCTGTCCTGGATGTTTTTCGCCTCGGCATCGCTGTGTCTTCGCCAGCCTGCGTGAACTTTCGCTGACTTTGTCTCGTCTCTCTGGCGCCTTTTCAAATGGCTTCGGCCCACTTTAATTGAACCTTCCCATTCACAAGAGATGATCGTTCACTGTTTTTTGAAGGGGTTCGTTAAATAAGTGGCAGAATTACCTGGTTAATCATTTGGACAAAACCACTTCCCCTTCTCCTCTGTGGTCATGTGCAGACAGGAACGCGTGCGGGGGCTTTAAAAAGCTGCAAGAATGTAAACATCGTGAACACCCGCTTCCAAAGATATGCTTGGTATGCCATTCTCGTGTGTAAATGAAATGCAATCCACACGGCGGCTCACATGGTGTTTGCACGTTATAAATCACTCATTTGCAAACGAACACAGCTATTTCTTTGCTTTAAGTTACGCTTTTCTTATAAAGTTGCACAGTATCTGTGTGCTGTGTTTCTTTGAGTCAGCATGTTGGGCTTTGCTGTGTAATTGTGCATTTTGCCTGTCATGGGTGTGTGTTGTTGAGGGAGTTGTGAGGCTTCTTTGATAGGGTCTCTGTATGTGTGTGTGTGTGTGTGTGTCTATTTGTGTGTGTGTGCGTGTGTGTGTGTGCATGTGTGTGTGTGCGCGCTGTGCAGTCCAGTCCAGTTATTGCAGGCAGCCCTGAACACAGATGGTGCTCAGCGATACCACATACCAGAGGCATTGTTTAGGGAAGGCGAGCTCGAGGAGATAATTGACAGGCATAGAGACGACCCTTCCCCCCACACACACACACACACACACACACACACACACACACACACACACACACACACACACACACACACACACACACACACACACACACACACACACACACACACACACACACACACACACACACACACACACACACACACACACACACACACACGTACACTTCCCATCCACCTTCGCTCTGTCTCTTTTTGTCAGCCTTTCTTTGATGGTGCTACACACACACACACACACACACACACACACACATACAGACCCTTTCCCTATTTATTTTACCTCCCTTTTTTCTAGCTCTTTTTTCTCTCGCCCTCTCCCTCCCTCCTTCTCTCCCTCTCTCGCCGCCTTCACTTGCTCTCCTTCTATTTCACCCTAGCAGCAGAGCCCAGCCCGTCCTCTGATTGGTGGACGGACTGCCTTTGTGTGCTATCTCTAGCGTGACGACTCTCCCCGGCGTGTGTGTGTGTGTGTGTGGGTGTGTGTGTGTGTGTGTGTGTGTGTGTGTGTGTGTGTGTGTGTGTGTGTGTGTGTGTGTGTGTGTGTGTGTGTGTGTGTGTGTGTGTGTGTGTGTGTGTGTGTGTGTGTGTGTGTGTGTGTGTGTGTGTGTGTGTGTGTGTGTGTGTGTGTGTGTGTGTGTGTGTGTACATTTGTTCACCAATGTATATGTTTGAAGAAGGGGGGGTGAGGGGGGTTGGTTAAAGGGGCATTTACATCATGCATGAAGAAGGAAAAGAGAAAAATAAGTGAACGTGTGGGAGGAAAGAGTAATAGCGATCACACAGAGAGAGAGAGAGAGAAAAAAATCCCTTTGCCGTGTGTGTGTGTGTGTGTGTGGTAGAAAGAGAGAGAGGGAGAGGGAGGGGGGTAGAGCGAGAGCGCAAGCGACACAGAGAGAGAAAGAGAGAGAGGGAGAACGTGCGTACGAGGGCTCATGTAAAACCAGATTAAAAACACAAGATGGCTTCCTGAATGGGCTGCTGGAACACAGACGAGAGAGAGAGACCGAGGAAGAAGAGTGGAGAGAGGGAGAGAGAAGAAAGGGAGAGAGAGGGATAGAGGTGAAGACAAGAGGGAGTCTTCTGATGGGGATTCGGCCAGCGGACGGCGGAGTAAAAACCAAGGCAGCTCAGAGGCTTGGAGGGTAAATATTCATCACTCCAGACTATTTTAGGATTGATAGGTGGGTGGGGGGGGGGGGGGGGGGGGTGAGGAGGGGGGGGGAGGTTGGCGGGACTAGGGAACAGCTCTAGACAAAACACATCATTTAACATCGAGACATCCAGGGTTATGCAGACAAGGGGGGACATGCTGTGCAAAATAAGAAGATCCTTTTGTTTTACACAACAGTTTCCATGTACTGCATCCCAGCTTTTCACTGACACTTGTGCACGGTTTTAACAGAAACTCTCGTATTCAGCATTTGATGAGGAGGGTTGTGTCAGGTGAGGAGGATACAGACATTACATAATTCTTGAATTGAAATTGAATCCGTGTCCCAGCAGCAGAGGGAAGTGCCGGCTCGCTGTCTGAAACACCAATCAAAGAAAAATACTTTTATTTATTTTTGAAGCATGACAGCAAGGAGGAAGACAGACATGTTACACCCGGTGCTCCTGTCCTTAATGACGAGTCTTTTTCAAACAGGCCCTTGTCGCATTATTCTATTGATTGTTAATCTCACCCCCTCCCATCTCTCTCTGTCTCCCTCTCACTCCCCCCCCTTCCCTCGCTCCTCGTCTGTTGAATGGCTGTACAGGTGGAGTATTTTGAAGACAACCAACGAGGCAGCTTGGGAAACCCTGAACCTGCAGCGGAGGTAAGACGAGTGCCATCTCTGTACATCTTGCTCTGATTCCCGCTTTTTTATGAGGTGTAAACATTAGTCAAGGCAGCGACCAATCCCTCTACTCTTTCTTTGTGTGTAGTTGCACGTGCATTCCTTTTAAATGTGACTACGTTAGTTTTCCATGTCTGTGTTTTCAATACCTATTACGCAGAAACCGCTGTGGTTCAGTCGCTAGTTTGTCATTTGACTGTTTGCTCCTCTCTTCGGCGAGCTCATTATTTCTCCCTGATATGGTCTCCGGTTGGAATAAAGGTGCATCATTAGACGTCTCAGGATGTACTTTGCCAATCTCAATTTCCCCGCTCGGTAGCTGACTGTGTTCAAGTTTATCTCCAAGCCGCGGTGAGCTGAGCGCCTCATGATGAAGTGGCGGCGTCCTCAGTTTAAAGCGTCCCACGCTGCCCTCTGATTGGTGCCAGAGAAAAGCATGTGTAGATACAACAAGCCAGGGAGAGGAGGGAGTAAGAGGGGGGAGTAGGAGGAGGAGGAGGAAGCCGACTCGCCGGCTCAGGAGCCAGGAGGGCCGTCCTTCTTCTTCTTCTTCTTCTTCTTCTTCTTCTCCTAGGTTCTGGAGTCAAATGAGGTAAAGGGAGTAAAAGTTAGTGGGTCACGCATGCGTACGTGTGATTGCCGGCGTAGTAACCTGTGGCGTGAGGCGGCCGCTGAGCGCTGCTGTTCTTCAGTCTGTCGAGTCGAGACACGCTCCTGTGTTTCTGTGCAGAGGAAGTTTGAGCGGCGAGGCTTCATGAGGAAAGGATTTGTCGAGTTATAAGATTATTAGGATGTCATCTCTGCGGGAGAAAGAGAGCTTTAGTTTGACTTCACATGCACAGGGGACAGTGTCAGTGTTGTAGAACTAGACAACGTGGAAAAGACAAGATACCAGAGGTGGAAGAAGATCATTTGGTCAAAGTAGTAAAACCACTATTTAGAAATACTCAGTTCATTTTTGTTACTAAAATATTATTTATTTTTTGATATTTGTAAAGTACAACAACTAAAAATACTCACTATGCAGAATGTCCATCTTTCAAATAATATATATTGTACTTCTGGATTATAATCAGTGATCTATGAATGTGTTTCTCGCCGCTGGTAAAGGTGGAGCTAACTTTATTGACTTATTAAACTGCTAGGTATCTTAATCCATAACGGTTCATCATAATAAATAATTGTATTGGATTTTGTATTAATAATATAAAGGTACTTGTATTTGTACAATATTTGCTTCCAAATTGTAGAGGAACAGAAGTATATAGTAGGCTTAAATTGGAAATACTCGATACTTAATACATGTCAAGTATTTCAAAGTTGTACTTAATTACCGTTACATATACTTAGTTACTTTCCAACGCTGCAGGTTACGACTGGAGGACATTCAAGCCGACAGATACACATCAGCTATGAGATGTTAGTTAATCAGTTTCAAATGTGATGAACAGGTTTTCTTTAAGCCTGCTCTAATCCCCGTGCCTCTTTATCTTTACAGTATATATAGGACCATCTGTAGGGGGGTAAGAAAGAAATCAGTGCAGACTGTGTTTAACAAGTTTTTATTCTCTGCCTTCCTGAGCTGCTGTTTGTCCGGGGTCAGGGTCCTCGCCGCGGTGTTTATCTCGTCGGGATCTGTTTCCTTGTCAAACACTTCCCCGGTCACACAAAGAATAACCCGGGCGACCGCCAGCAGCAACATGTTTTGACTAAAACAAAAACAGACAGAGAATATCAGCCACGCTTTAGCTAACCTGCACTGTCTCCAAGTGTCTTTAAGCGTTGACTTAACTGACCTGTTCGCAGCTTTTTTAAAGGTTTGGGACTAGCCTAAAGTACCAATTATTTGACATTTTATAATCCTGAAATGACTGTTAGATCCTAATGTTCCTTTATTATCAACAATGTAACACTAGTGCGTTACATTCAGTGTGTGATAGCCGAATACAGAAGTTTGCATGTTGTCCATTTTCATACCTTGACATGACAAGTTGTGTGCACATATAATAGGAAAAACCTACGTAAACAGACAACATAACTGATCAAAATGCAGACATAAACACACAAACATTCATTCAAACATATATTTTAGTCATTGGAAGTGTTTTTTTTAACCTTTGCATTAATACTATTGAATCCCATATCCAAGGCCATACAAGAAGCAAGTTCTGTAAACATATTAAAAACATATATATTGAGCATTGTGTTTAATCAGCTATCCCTCTTTTTGGTTTTATACTTTTTTATATGTATTTATTGCTTAGATTTTCACGTTTTAATCAGTTTTATCAATGTTTTGTTGCAATTTCCCCCTCGTACGGAAGGTTCTGTATAGGTAAAGTTTATTATCAGTACTATTATGATTATGATATTTCCAGGACACACACACATCAGATCAAAGACATGATCAAAAGCATGTCAGTCTGCTCTCTCTAAGTTTTGCTGTTCAGGAAGCAAGATAAGAGTTTGTACCACAACAGGTTATAAGACACACAGTGCACTCGCGTGATTCTTTTTTCCACGCACAAACACAGGATTTCCTCTCTCTACTTGTGATGAACTTCAAACGGCACGCTGGTAGGAAAGAGTCGGAGTAGAGACTGAATTTGCGTGACAGCAGATGGAAGGTGTTTTTTAAAAATCATAACGCTGGAATCCCCGGCTTCGATCGCAAAGGGTTAACGCTGACCCAGTTTCCGTGGCAACACTGAATGTCTGATGACATCATTGCTTTAATTTTAGCTCAAGTCCGGCATCCAAAGTTTGGTCACGTGACAAACTCGCCGGCACTGCACACGTGTGTTTTGTGTGTGTTTATGTGTGTAGTGTAGTAGAGACTGAGGAAGTGGAGGGTTTGACATCACCTCTTCCATTCAGCGCTGGCTCACGATGCGTTCACTGCTCTGTGTGAAGTTTCCGTCTGTGAAGAAATGCAGCTATGTTTCCTGTGTGCTCTGAAACGAGAACTAGTGATCTAATAGCTGTGGGGGAAACGTGGCTTATAGGCGAAAGTTATATCTGCTTTTTGGTTCTCAGGATGAACAGATCGTGCAGTCATGGTCTTTATTCCACTCAAAAAGTCATACATAATGATTGAAGGACACGTCTTATTATTTTTCCTTTAATATTCATTCATGAAAAATTGATTTTATATGAATTACTAGCCTTGTGTTTCCTTGAAATCTTGATTAAAATGTTGAATGCCTCCACGGAGAACATAACAATACAAATGTGGACTTGTACGTCTTGATGTCTGCACAAATGGGGCTGTGTTTAAAAACAGCAAAACTATATCAAAAAACATTCTTGGTTTGAAGGAATAATTCACACGCAAAATTGACATTTATTAGTCAGTTGCTCATTGTTACTTTGAATTGCCAAATCAAACCTTTGCATGCCTCTACGGTGAACAAAGAATCCAAAAATGGAGAAAAGTCTTAATGTGAAGTAAGATGGGGTAAGAAGGGTTGTGTTTTAGAACAGAAAACATTTACAAACTCGCACACAACCTGTGTAGTATAATCCAAGCCTCATTTAATCTGCTTTATGCTCACCCAGGGTGTCCGCGGGGTCTTAAAAAGTATTAAAAGTTGATAAATCAATTGAACGAGTAGTGTGCTTGCACAAGTTTAAGACATGCAGAGGTTATTTCAGTCTTGCTTTTAAACACGACCTACTTTTAGTTAAATTCATCAACACTTGATTTTTCTCCGTTTCTCATTCTTCGTTCACTTTAGGGAGGGGTGCAAGATCAAATCTGTTTTCTTTAGAGAGAACACAAAGTACAAAATTGATACATAAATGGTTATTTTGCAGGTGAACTATATCTTGAGGATACTGGAATATAATAAATGGTATTTTTTACATACAAAGTATATACATGTCCAGAAAAGCATACATTTACTCTGCGTCCTTGAGTTGGTGACAGATCTTCATGATTACATGACTTAAGTTGAGGCATTGTCTGCAGTTCAGAAGTGACTAATAATAAACCCATTTCACCTTGACTACAACCCTGCAAGCAAACTCAGAAATAGTCAGCTGCTTCCTGGCATTTCACAAATATCTACAGTACATTGTGCAGAAGTCATTTCCTTTAACGGTTACAAAAGAAGTATTGTTTGTATCAAAGGCGCCTGAAGGACTGGAAAACATCACATCATGTAAATCCTCATGAGAGCCTCACATACATGCAATCATTAAAGGTCCCCTATTATACTGTTTTTCATCAATATAGTATAGGTCTCAGATATATACAGAACCTGTCTCTGATTGGCTGAAACACCAAACAGATCATTGCAGCATCCCATAATCCCCTCTGTTTCAGCCCTGTTTCAAAAGTGCTGATTCTCTGTCTGTTACTTTAGATGAAAGTAAGGAGCCCCTCCCCACGCCTCTCTGAGAGATATTTGGTTAAAAAGAACTCAAGGTGCTCTAGGAGGAGATTCAGGTGATAAGGGGGGGGGGGGGGGGGGGGGGGGGGGGGGGGGGGGGGGGGTTACCTTGGTTGGTGATTGGCTAATGGTTACACAAGCCAAAACATCGTTATGACATCATAAAGTGGCCAAAATCTGATCAGCTCATTTTCAGACAGGTTTTTATATAAATGGATCAGGAGAAAAAGAGAGAGAATCTTTGTTCCTGAAACTTTCAGAATCTCTTTCCACAGAGGGGACACATGTTGATGTAGAAGAGACATGAAGACGTGGATTTTGCATAATAGGTGACCTTTAATACATATAGAGGTTTCATCTGTATTTAATGGCAGTAAAGCCAGTCTCTGTCCTGCTTCAGTGTGCCAGTGATCATGATGGATCGATGCCCTGCATGGCACCACGAGGTTCAGTGTGTGGCATTGTTGGTGGGATCAGTGTTTGATGTCGAGGGAGGCTGTCGGCCGCCCGGTGCCGCAGTTAATAAAAAATGAATGGGGAGAGGGGGGGGGGGGGGGGGGGGGGAGGAGCCCTCAGCTGTTGCTC